CAAGAAGCTTCATTTCATGTGTGGCGAATGACAGGGCCCGTTTAATAAAAAAATAATTTGCTCATCGCTTTTTTCGACACTTGACGCACGTGCTCTGTCCAACTAAGATCAGATGAAATCGTGATACCAAGGTATTTGTACTGGTTAACCCTTCGTAGTGGCACATTGTTAACATGGTATTGAAAATCAAACTTAGACACCTTGTTGGTAATGGACATAAATACAGTTTTGTCAGTGTTTATAGTCATTTGCCAATCAGCACACCACTGAGATATTTTGTTTATTAAATTACTCAACTTCACCTGATTATCCTGATGATGTATTTCACTGTAGAGCATACAGTCGTCTGCAAAGAGTCTGAGTTTAACGTCAGCGTAGTTAGTTATGTCATCTATATATATATGGAACAAAACTGGAGCTAGTACAGACCCCTGCAGGACGCCTGACAACACCGGAGCTAGGTCAGAAGTGTGGATGCCATGCTGTACGTATTGGTGACGGTCTGTTAAGTAATTAGTTATCTATTGGAAGATGGGGCCATCGCCTAACAAGTGATTAAGCTTAAGCTGTAGTTTAGGGTGCGAGACGTGGTCGAATGCCTTTGAGAAGTCGAGAAAAATTACATCAGTTTGAATACGTTCATTTATGCCGAGAGACAGGTCATGAAGTGTTTCGACGAGCTGTGTAACTGTAGATAGTCCTGATCTAAAGCCATGCTGGTTGGAATGCAGAATGTTGTTTGATTCAATAAAGCTTATTACAACTTTTAAAACAATATGTTCAAGTATTTTGCTACTAGTGCAGGTGATCGAAATATGCCTATAATTAGGACTAGCGGCATTACCTGATTTAGATATTGTAGTAATTTTGGCAATTTTCGATTCAGCTGGAATGCAGCCATCTGCCAGTGATTTGGAGTATATTAAATAAAGGTATTTACAGACTGGTTCTGCATATCGTTTAAGGAAGCCATTTGGGATTCAGTCTGGACCGCTACTTTTTTTTCATTGATGCCTAGAAGCTGTGACATAATGCCAGCCTCTGATAAAGAAGGCGTGCATAATAATTGGATATCCCGATTTTAAAAAGAAGCATTCATGTTCACAGTGCCATTATCGACTGTAAAAACCGAACAAAAATAACAGTCGAAATCGTCAGCTCTTGCTTGGTCTTGACCGTCTGGTAAAGGTCGATTAGTCATTTTTGTGTTCATATATTTCCAGAATTTGTGGGGAGAGTTTTAAGACTCATTTAATGTGGACCCGCAGAACTTCAGTTTCGCATTACGCACCTAGTCCTTAAGTGATCTAGTGAGTTTAGTATAGAACGGTAGCCTGGAACATTCTGGTTTTTGTTAGTTTTACGCAACCTCTTGATTTTAAGTTTAGTATGGATTATTTCACGTGTGATCCACGGATTGTGTTTTGAGTTGATATAAAAACCACTGGGACAAAGTTTCGCATACAATGCATGACATGGAATTTGAATTTCAGCCAGACCGCATCAATGCTAGAGCAAGCATCAGAACAACGGTAAAAAAATTCAGTGTACTCGTATACAAGGTACGTCATTATTGCTGCATCATTGGCCTTAAATGCGGGTATTTCTTTTAATTGGCCACATAATTTCAGTGGGCTAATAAAGGGCAATGTGCATAATGCCATTTTGTGATCGGATAACCCATCAAGTACGTCTACTCGAGATTCATTTGTAGGAAGGCTGTTACTTATAAAAACAAGGTCCAAGATTGAGGATGACGCCCCCTGTACTCGAGTTGGGACTGAAACAATCTGCTCGAGATTGAAGTCAAACATGAGATCCAATAGGATGCTTTGAGATCCAATAGGATGCGTTAGCGCTTCAACAAAAAGAAAGAAAAGAAAGTCACCCTTTCGTTTTTTTTTTTTTCCCTCCGCACAGTCGCGAGTCTTCTGAGAAGCAAGGTGTCCGTTCACGTTGTCTGTTTGCATACCGCTCCGGTGGTCACGACGGATTTCAGAACCGAGTTCGTAGTACTGAGGCATTGTTAGTATAACGCGGAACTATATTAACGCTTGTTATTCGGAAACGTTGGGTATTCTGAAGTACGTAGTAGTGAAATAATTTTACATTGAAACTATTAGCAGTCTGCATGGGATTTTCAAAAAGTTTGTTAATCTGAAAAGTTCGTTAATGGGAGTTTTGTTCTATAGAGATATTACTGTAAATGTGGCAGAGGGGGAGGTACAATTAATGCTGTTTTGCACCTTAAATGTGGCCAGGAGGTTCAAAAATTTGTAAGCTGGAGGTTATGTATTGACGTTTAAGGCAAATTTGGAACTCCTGACACGAAGGGAGCTCACCCTTATCTGCCACATCAGTTGGGCTTCCATAGAAGTTAAAAGAGGAGGAGAGGCTGAGGAAATAGCATCTTTGCACTTTCCGTGTGAGGTGTTGTCAACTGTTTGGTTGCACCAAACCATGTGCTAATACAATTTGTCTTATCAAGAATGAGGTAATGCATACCCCACCTGACTATGCATTCCTTCACGCTGTAGCATGCATCGTCAACTATGAAATATCACTGTGCCAGGTCTTCATCAACCTAGCAAAAGGAAACTTTCTTGCTACTACCGTATTTACTCGTGTTATGAAGGCACAGGCATAATAAATGCACCCCCAACTTCAGTCATCAAAATCTGGATTTTTTTTCTTTGCTTAATAAACGCACCCCCTACATTAACCTGCTGCAGTCTAACCGACACCTGGCGCCTCCTTGCCCGTTCGATATCTTTCGTTTATTTATATGCCGACCCCCTAAGGCCACCTCACCCTCGCTCTCTCCCCACCTTAGCCCTCTTTTGCACGCTGTATTGTTGTTCTTTATATCTGCTCGTGGCACAGCTTGGCAAATACCCCGTCATCCTTGCACCACAGTGGGATTCACGAACGGTGCGAGTGCAGACATCGCAGTTAAGCACACAGCGAGCAAAGGTAACGAAACTGCCCACTCCAACCGTTGGTCGCTTCCTGCAAATGCGAAGCATTAAGGCCCACCCACATCGCTGTGTCTTTCGACTAACGACAGGACTTGATGTTGATATGGCTGTTGCGAAGGGCGATTCGTCGCAAACACGTCGCAGGTTTCTGGAAAACCAGAAAATATCTTGTCGCCCAGAAAAGTTTCTGACAATTTTCGCAACATGGCACAGTAGCACCCCGATTCTCGCTTCGGTTGCAATTTGCTTTTCATGTTTATCTGCGCATACTTCAAGGAATGCAAGACATAGGCTGCCTTTTCGACAGTAACTTCTCATGTGAACAGTAAGACAGCAGCCGTATTGTCGTTAATCTAGTTATGAACAGTTTGTTTTGGATGCTTTGGTGCTTGTTGCAATGTTAACATAGTTGTTGCAGTCATTGTGAGAAGTTGCCATGAAGTTGGCAAAGTGTGTCATAGTACACGCCTATGGGTGCCCCTCAAGATCATTGCAGGTTTCAATGTTGCAGTTGTACGATTGCAAGAAAAGAAAGCTGCGAAACATTTTTATAGAGTGCGAGGGCGACGCAGGGACAGCTTACAGAAGATAGCGTTGTCAACTACCAAAGATGAGTGAAGTGCAACAAAGGAGCTTATGTTTCCAAACAGTGTATACATATTCAATTATAAAAGGCTAAGTGATTTAACATTTTCTTATTTTTTTGCATTACCACATTTTTTCCTCGTCCTAAAAAATTTGTCATAGAATTTGCCCCACATAATAAACACATCCCTAACTTCACTCCGATTTTTCAAGAAAAAAAGTAAGTTCATTACGCTAGTGAACACGGTATATCTCGTAGGAATATGCTTAGGAGTCCTCTCAACTTCTTTAAAGACGATAGTCTTTCTTGGGGACGTTTGACGCAAAAACTTTGGTCGTCTGTCTGTACATTTGTCTGTTTGTCCACCGTTACCACGAATCGGTTATTCTAAACAGCACCAACCAATACCCCGAATGGTCGACCCCATCCGCAGCGCCCAACAATGTTGCTCAAGAATCGGCATTCTTACGCGTGCGATTGTCAATTAAAAGAAATAATTGCGCATATCTGAGGTACCACAACAACACGTCGATGTTTTGTATGTGTGCCTTTATACAAGAGAATGCACCCACAAGTAAATCTAAGGACCGTAGCGTTAAACACGCTACGCTGGCAGTGCGAGGCGGGGCTCAAAAAGGCAAGTTTTACCAGCGCTTTGCTAAAACGACACGGTGGTGGCACTTGCCTGTCGCTTTGCGTTCTACACCTTATCGCCTCCGAGAATGCACGCATCTTTCTCCGCAGGCACGCAGGCCTTCCTTCATTTTCGGAGATAACTGCCAGGTGGCGCTCATGGCTAACATGCCTCGATGCGCTCATTCGCCTCTGCTGCACGCTCGAGGCACTCTAACGCAGCGCCTCCGGAGTACCATTCACCGATTTTCTTGCGCAGAACATCAAATAAATGTTTTGTTCACTTTCTCCACGCTCAATACTATCGTATTTCGACGACATTTGCAGATTACATGCAGATACAGGGCCAATTTTTTTTAATGCAATTTCACACTTGACCATTTGAAACATGTTTCAGAAATATTGTAAAAATATGCGATTCGATTTGCACTTCGCTGCTCGAATTCCCTTCACCCCCTAAATTTTGGTACTTGCACAGCTCTACTTCCTGCAGCTTTCTCGCGCAGCTGGTACTTTCTAAATGCATGGGTGTTTACTGTACAAGCACGGCGATCCCAGATTAGCATGCTGGCAGGTCTTTTTGACATGTGACAGTGCCACCACTTTTACAAGGATCACAAAAATTCACTTTCTTTGTTTTGTTTTCTATGCAAAAGTGTGCGAAATTGAATGCTGCTCTCTTTTTTTCATGCAATTCTCAGGGTCTTTGGGTCAATAAGAACTTTTATAACTACGAGTGAGGCTCAAGGTTGAAAAACAAGCACTGCTGTCCTCATTGGGAGGTGTGGATGCGTGCTTTGCAGGCCCAGCAAGAGTCGCTGGAGTCCCAGCGGTCCACCCTGGCATTGGAGAAGGGCCGGTTGGAGTCCCTAGTTTCCGAGCTTCATGCACGAGTGGCAGCACAGGAGGACCAGCTCAACGCTTCCGAGCAAGACCGGCGCCAGCTGCACAATGCCCTGCAGGAGCTCAAGGTGTGTCTGCCATGGAGAATGCTACCAGATAGCATGGAGATGCTACCAGAACAAATTTTAACTTGTATCGGTTGCCTAAATGTAGAAGCATGTGCAAACTATGCTGTGTCTGCCTCGGTGCAAGTGTCTCAGGTGCTGACCCGAAGGTTGCGGGTTCGATACTTGACCTGCTCGCAACTGTTTAGCATGGCTGCGAAACTATGTTCTGACTTTTGTTGCACTGTTATTTTGTAATATAATGGCTTGATTTAACGTTTCGATCGTCAATGGCACTGGCTATCATGCTGAATTAAAATGAACAGATTAAATATAAAACATTTTTTTTCATTTTATGTACGGATCATGATATGTACAGTTCATTTATGTAAGGTTCATTATAGTACGAGTAAATACGGTATTCAATTCCTTGAAACCTCGAAATCTGAAAAACCATTTCCAGGGCCCACAAATACCTTGAAAAGTGCTCTTTACTTGAAACTGCATCAATAAGGTTATGTTTAACGACTGCACTTTAAAGCCTATCGGAAAGGTTGTAGCTGCGGCCTGGGCCATTAGAGCTGATGACTGTTAAGAGTACTGGCACAAGTTTTAAATATGTTCCAGTTGTTGCTCTTACTAGAAGTACTGGTGTCGAGAAACTTAAAAGGAGGATTGTGGTGCCTGGGGATGCATATCTGTATTACAACTGCCAGAAAAAACATTCTTGGTTTCAATATTGAGGAGATGGCTCATCAGTGACCGAAATGTGTCATCTGCTCGTGGCCTATGTAAACAATCAGTGAATCGCTCTGCCTCTATGTTCTTTTGGCTAAGGTACTCTGCTGCTGATCCACAGGTCCCGGGATCGATTCCCGGCTGCATTTTTGATGGAGGCAAAAATGCTGTAAGCCCTTGGGCTCAGATTTGGTTTCACATTGTAGAACCCCAGGTGGTCAAATTTTCCAGAGCCCTCTACTGTAGAGTCTCGTAATATGGTGGTTTTGAGACGTTAAACCTTACATATAAATCAAACGAGTGAAGTTTCGTTCAGTGACCCTGACAGTGATTTCTGTGGTTTAGGGTGCTACAGGACACAACACTGTTGAGTTTGGAAATGAAACCAAGGAAATTAGGAATCCGCCTTTTGCGATGTCTTTAAACCATGTCTGTACTCCTTGAAGTGTCAAAGTACTTTGTTTCTCTGCACTTGGCGTGTCCACTTGCAATTTCTCATAATGGTACCACAGTTCTGGCATGTGCAGTTGGAGGGGGTTACTGATTGAAAGAAATGGTCTGTGCTAGGGCAACATTCGAGTGTTCTGCCGCCTGCGACCATTGCTGCCATCGGAAACAGCTCCACAGAGGCCGTTTCTGTTGCTGCCCGATGAACGGACAGTCGAGGTGGTGCGGACAGACCCAGAGGTGAGTGGGAAGCGCCTTACACAAGATGCAATTTGACGAAACGCACATCATTTCGTTACATTTTATCTCTGTATTCGTTCGGTCGTAATACACTCTAGCGAAGTTGTAATTGTGCATGCTGTTGCCTCAATGAAGTAGCATTGGCGTTGCCGCGATGAGAGGCTCACAGGCCAACCGCCAACCCAGCTGGAAGAGCCAGCCGCTTTGGAGCCGCTGTCACAAGGACGAGACTACCTAGCAGAGCCATGGTTGTACCGTGCACACTTAATGTCCCCTTCCTGTAGCTCGAGTCAACGAAGCTACGACGGGTTTGAGATAATAAGGTAATTAGCTAGGTTAACACAACCCTTCATTACTGTGTTAGCACTAACTCGTAAATCTCGCTTAAAGGGACTGTCCACTCTGTGAAGATAACAGAGGGTAGGCTTAAACCTTTCATCGATCGCCTTGGCTTGTAGAGATTCTATACGTCAGTTGTCCCTGTCCGGTTGCTGGTGTAAGAGAGCCTCTTGCTGGCGGCACGCTTGTTTTCTCCAACCCTCTCTCCTGTAAGGGTTGCTTCCCCCTCCGAGAGAGTAACCCATTCCGCAAGGGAGCTATAGCACGCTCTTGCTGCAGGGTGAACGGCCCTTCGATAGAGGCTTCATTTCTCTATTTTGAAGAACCGACGTGTCCTCTCAGCTACACTGCCCGCCATGCTGCAAAGGCAAAGGAAGCATGGGCACGCGTGGTTCCCCGTGCAGTGAGAATACCTTAGAATAACTTTTTGCTGTGATACTTGGTACACCGTAGTGAGGGAAAATTTCAGATGGCTAAACCACCTAACAAAGAATGTAAAAGCACATGGAAGAGCGTGAGGATCTTTACTTCTGCTTTTATGAACTTGTGGTGTTTTAGAAGTTTGAGTTTTGGCCTCATTAGTGAGAAAACCTATTGTCACGATGAGTCACAATTACTGGGGGATTTATTGAACGACCGGGTAGCTAGCTCTAGGACGATGCGTCAGTCGTGGCTGGCTCTCGAGCAGAGAAGAAGACACGCGATCTTCTTTTTTCCTCCAGATTGAGAGCCGCTCTTGCTGTCGACCCACTACGTGCTGGTGGCATTATCCCCCCTTCCGAAAAGAAAAAAAACAAGTCCCAAAAAGAGGAAAGAAAAGTACATAGCATCACCGCGATGCTACAACATAGGCACGTGAAAAAGAAATTGGAAATTCGGATAAAGTGAAAGTAAGATTGAAGAGCATGCCAAAATAAGAAACGTCAATGAACGAGAAAGCAAGTTCACACAAATAAACAAAAAAACACAAAGGATGCTGTACGGTAAAGGAAAAGTTACGAGCAACGCGCAATAAATGGTTTCATGCGCAACACATGAACGACGTCCGGCCTCAGCCGTGTCCTACTCCGTGCATGGGGTGTTGAGTCCGGAACCACTTCGTAGTTCACGTCACTGACGCGGCGAACACTTTATATGGGCCAAAGTACCGGCTCAGCAACTTTTCACTAAGGCCACGGCGGCGGACGGGCGTCCACACCCAAACTTGATCTCCGGGGCTGTAAAACACTTCTCTGTGGCGGGTATTATAGCGTCGTGCGTCTGCCTGCTGTTGCTGGCCGATGTGCAGTCGCGCGAGCTGCCGGGCTTCCTCAGCACGCTCTGCGAATTCTTCGGCGTCAGTTGCCAACTCGTCTTCGTCTTGACACGGTAGCATGGAGTCTAGCATGGTCTGTACTTCGCGGCCGTAGAGAAGCCGAAATGGCGTGAATCGCGTGGTCTCTTGCACGGCGGTATTATACGCGAAGGTCACGTAAGGTAAGATCCGGTCCCATGTTTTGTGCTGTACGTCGATGTACATTGAGATCATGTCTGCGAGGGTCTTATTCAGTCGCTCGGTAAGTCCGTTGGTTTGCGGGTGGTACGCAGTTGTCCTTCGGTGTCTGGTGTTGCCTCAGTTTGAAAACTTCGTCCGTAAGCTGCGCCGTGAATGCCGTCCCTCTGTCCGTTATTACACTGGAAGGAGCACACGTGTCGTAACACGATGTGGCGCATGAAAAATTGTGCTACCTCAGAAGCCGTGGCTCGTGGGATCGCTTGGGTTTCAGCGTAGCGTGTCAAATAGTCGGTCGCGACGATCACCCATTTGTTGCTGTCCGCAGACAGGGGAAATGGCCCGAGAATGTCCATGCCGACTTGGTCGAATGGCGTGCAAGGTGCTTCAATGGGCTGAAGCAAACCAGCTGGCTTAACAGATGGTTGCTTTCGGCGCTGACATTCCCGACAGCTCTTGACGTACTTCTTGACGTACTTCTTCACGCTTGCCGAAAGTCCTGGCCAATAGTACCTCTCACTCACTCTGGCAAGTGTCCGTGAGTAGCCCAGATGACCGGATGTGGGTTCGTCATGGCAAGCGAAGAGGACGTCGTCTCACATGTCTCGAGGAACCACCAGGAGGTAGGTACGGTTGTTCGAACGAGCGTTCTTCTTGTACAGCACACCATCTCGAAGGCAGAACGACGGCAACGAGCGGGATAATAACGTGGTATCATTGTGCCCTGGCCCTCTAAATGATCGATGATCGGACGAATCTCTGCGTCATCCCGCTGCCGTTTACTCAAGTCTGATGAGCTAATGGCGCCCAGAAAGCCTTCGTCTTCCTCTGCATCCTGACTGACGACAAGAAGGGGTGCACGTGACAGTGTGTCAGCGTCTTCATGCTTGCGGCCGGACTTATGGACGATGGTGACGTCAAATTCCTGCAGCCGCAAGCTCCACCGTGCTAGCCGTCCTGAAGGGTCGCGCAGGCCTTTGCCAACCAGCAGAGGGCGTGGTGGTCCGTCACTATCTGAAGGGACGACCATAAGGTACGGGCGGTCATGTTTGTTGACGTGGTGGGAGTAGTATCGTTGACTTCCGGAGGCAATCCCCTGATTCGGCGGCTGGTCCGATGCACGGGAGTGTTGACTGGCACTGGACTCTTATTACGGCTTCCTGGGGGGTCTGCAGCATCCGTGAGACTACCCAGCACCTCCACCAGTTTGTCACGATGAGTCACAAGTACTGGGGGATTTATTGAACGACCGGGTAGCTAGCTCTAGGACGATGCGTCAGTCGTGGCTGGCTCTCGAGCAGAGAAGAAGACACGCGATCTTCTTTTTTCCTCCAGATTGAGAGCCGCTCTTGCTGTCGACCCACTACGTGCTGGTGGCACTATATTGCTTCTGTGTGCCACTCGCAGCAGTGCACCTGTGACATTGAATTTAGAGGACGTAAACTTGCCACTTCGGACTCTGAAGGTGAGTGTCCTTATGGCGCTTCAGGCATGAGACTGTATTCCGTGGTTCTACACGATGCGGCTGCCCCATGGCCAGTAGGTCCATGCCACTGCACATGGGCCCATATGGGAGGGAAATGCTGGACAAACCTTTCAGTGTTTCAACTACACAGTTGTCCATGCTCTCTACTTTTGCTTGATTTACCTTGACATACTCATACATCCGCCTTCTTGACCCTATACACAACCTCAGTCTCCGTCTATCGAGTGGTGCTTACAGAACATCACCTATGCAAAGTCTATTCGTAGAATGCAATGAGCCCCCTCTATGTGATCGAAGAGCATTACTAACCTTGTCATATGTTTTAAGAATAAGGTCGTCACCTGAACACATCTGCTACGAAATTGCCGCGAAATGTGACTCACGCTTACACTACCTCAACAAACTGAACCTAATCAAACCACTTGTCCTACGTTTCGAGGAATACTGCCGCTTTTATACCATCCCTGATGGATCACTAGATGTCGCTATTAAACCACCAACACTGCCGCCATGGTTCAACTTGTCGCAGCTATGCGAATTTTCACTAAACCGTTTTAACAAAAAAAGCACCCCACCAAGACACACAATGCAAGAATTTTATACACTTCAGCACGAATATAAGGATTATGAAGAATTTTACACAGATGGCTCAAAAACGGAAAACCACAAGGGTATTGGGATTGCGACGACGAAAAGTGCAATTTTTGTGAAAGTACCTCGTAGTTTTTCCATTTTTTCAGCTGAAGCTTATGCCTTGAGTGAAGCAGTTCGGAAAATTATCGCTGAAAAATACAAGAAAGCAATCATATACTCCGACTCACTAAGTACACTAAAAGCACTACATATAAAATCTGAATGTGAGCCAATAGTGGGCGACATTTTAAACATGGTATACTTAAACAGCCAGGCAGCCTCCATCCGTTTCTGCTGGGTCCCAAGTCATGTTGGGATACCCGGAAACGAAAAAGCAGATAAGTATGCTTCCCAGGCAGCCCATAAAACAGTAACAAAAGTGAAAATTCTCCTTAAAGGTATCTAGAGAACAATTCCCCTGGCTCTACTATCAAAATGGCAAAAGCAATGGGACACCTGCACAAACAATATGCTCCACCTGGTGAAACCCACACTCAGGGAATGGAAGACCTGCCGTCACCAGCAACGGTTTATTGAACTTGTATTACGCCGACTTCGCATTGGACACACACACTTGACACACAACTTCTCACTCGCAAAGGAAAAACAACCAACGTGTGAAAAATGCCAAGAAGCGTTTACACTTATGCACATCCTAATCGCATGTCCTACCATTTAAACACAAAGAGAAAAAATTTCAGCAAGCTATACAAACAACACGTGCCTTTACACACTGCTTTGTTCCTAGGAGATGACCCTCTAGTACCTCTGCCCGACTTGCTAAACTTTCTGAAAGAATGTAATCTGTTAAATAAGCTTTAAAATCTCATCTTTTCAGTGTCCATTCCTGAAAGTCTTGTGTCTGGCGCAGCATAGCCTTAGCTGCTTTTGCGCCATAAAAACCAAATTACCCTTACCTAAACTTGACATACTGGCATTTTCCCACGATGCTGAAGTGCACCACACGCACTTTCGTCTGCTGTTTGAACACACCGATGACCACAGCCTACTCGACAGTATCCAAAAAAGCATGCTAGGCGCTTCTATCGT